TGTGTGTGTGTGTGTGTGTGTGTGTGTGTGTGTGTGTGTGTGTGTGTTGTCTGAGGAGGCCATGGGTCAAAGCTGGATGTCCTCCTCTATCCCTCTCCACTTTATCTTTTTAGACAGGGTTCTTCACTGAGCCTGAAGCTCGTTAGTTTCACTAGGCTGGCTGTCTAGTGAGCCTTCTGGATTCCTGTTTGTAGGCTACTTGTAGTATTCAGGTATGCACTGCCATGCTTGGGTTTTATGTAGATGCTAAGGTTGGGTCTGAACTCAGGTCCTCAAGCCTTTATGGCAAGCTCTTTCAGTCCCTTTCTGGTATGGTATGGACTTGAACTCCCTGCCTCCACTTCCCTAAGGCCACAATGACAGCTGTGTCCCAAGCTTGACCTATTACTTTCCCTGAAGACATATGTGGTATCTACCTCCAGGTAGCCAACTTGGTTAATACACTCAAGCGAAAAAAACAAGGACTACCACCTGTACTTCCTGTCTATCACAGATGCCCAGTGGCAACTCTGGGGATGGGTCCCCTTGCTTTCCACATGCAAAACACCTGAAGAGTGATGCTGTGTCTATTCTGCTTTAATCCTCCCGATTCTAGCAATGGAGGGACGCAGTCAGTCCTGTGTAACTGTGGGTTCTGTCTGCAGATTCAACCAACTGCTTGTCAATAATACTTGGAAAAATGCTGTGTCTGTACTAGTATAAACATATTTTCCCCTAATGGGGCTGAGTTGCTATTTGCATAGTATTTGCATTGTATTAGGCATTACAAGGCATCCACAGAAGGTTTAGAGCAGCTGGGAAAGAGGGGTTGTGAGGGTGTGAGGGGGTGGGTATGTGTGAGGTTCTAGGTAAATACTTCACTAATTTCAGGGACATGAGCAGCAGCTGCTTGGGGGATAAAAGTACCACATTCTTTTTACTTCTACAAGTGTGTGTTTTTTAAAATTTTATAGCCCTGGTTGTTCTGAAGCTTACTATGTAGACCAGCTTGGTCTTGAACTCACAGATATCTGACTGCCTTTGTCTTTTCAGTGCTGGGATTAAAAGCATGTGCTACCATACCTGGACTAATTTTTAAAAATGTTTTATACCTGAAGTACAGACAGACATCACAGATACATCTTCCTTCCTTTGTATTTCTGAGTTTTTTTCACAAGTGTACATATATTTTAAGAAACTCAGAGAACCATTATTAGTTAGATGTCAAGAGGTGACTCTTCTAGAGCATCAGAAAGACTTCCCAGTACAAGCTGGAGGAGTCTATGGCTCCCTCTCTCCAGAGCTGAGCACCTAGGGTGTCTGTCCACAAAGCTGTGAGCACCCAGGGCGTCTTTCCCTCGACCTGTGAGCACTTAGGGTATCTGTCCCCAGAGCTGAGCACCCAGGGTGTCTGTCCCCAGAGCTGTGAGCACCCAGAGTGTCTGTCCCCAGAGCTGTGAGCACCTAGGGTGTTTGTCCCCAGAACTCTGAGCACCCAGGGTGTCTGTCCCCAGAGCTGAGTGTCCCAGGGTATCCACTCCCCAGAGCTGTGAGCACCCAGGGAACTTTCTCTAGACACATGGTCCTAGAAGAATCACTCACCTCTCATTTTCCAGTGATTTCAGAATCTCAGAGCTCTTCTTTTGCCTGTGGGGAAAAAAATCAGAGATAGGCCCTGTGGCACCAGTGATCCTGCTTCTAACCAAGCTGCTCACCTCACCACACTGGCTGAGTCTAGTACCCAGGAGCTCTGTTCTCACTGTGACGCTCTCTAGGCTTCTCCTGCGACAGAGAGCCTCGTCTGTTTTCTTAGGACACTGGTAAGAGTGTTCCTGTATCCGCTCGCTGTGTCACTGATAGACCCCTAACTAGATGTTTTCAGGCTTCTTGAGGTCTCCCCTTGGCTCTTCTCTCTCCAATCCCATCATCAGCTGTTGGTGGTTCCTACACAAGACAATTTGTTTCCTATAGGGTGAGCAGCTGACCTCGGGCAACAGGCTACTTGGAAGCCAAATGCAGGAAGACTGTGATTATCATCTGCTGATATACAGATGGGAAATGGGTGTGAGGAATGGGGGTGGGCTGGGGTGCTGGCTAAGTGCTGTCAGCAGCCCTGTGACAGAACCCTTCTCTGTAATCCCCCCAAAATTGGTTTCCTGGAAACCAGAGCACACTGAAGCACCTTTCTTGGATCCTAGCAGAGGAATGCCTGGGCAGGGATGAAGGCGAGAGGAGACCCTGTTGTCCCTGTCCCTCAGACGGCATTCTGGGGGCTGGCCAGGACTGACCTCTGATTGTCCTGCAGCAGTCTCTGAATTCGGCTGGAGATGCTCTGCTCTGTCTGCTTCAGCTGCTCCTGCAGCTGCTGCCGCTCCGCATCCAGGCAGCGCTGGCGCTCACTCAGGCCCTGCTCTAGCCGTGTCTGCTCCTACAGTGTGGGAGGCACAGTAGGGGTTTTGACTGGAGGAAGGAGAGTGGGGTTCCTATCTCACTTTGCACGTCCTTCTGGGACCTTGGGCCTGGTCCCTTCCGTGTCCACTGTGGCCAAGGAAGTTGACCAGCGTATCTAGTCAGGGCCTCCATTCCCGCTTCCAGGGGATGATGGGACAGCTTAATGCCCTACTTTACCACTTCCTTGGGGCCATGGCCTAAGGCAGGAGGCCAGAGCCTTAGGGCGCAGGCCGGTTGGTGTGTGGCCTCGCACCTGCTTGACCGTCTGCAGGATCTCGTCCTTGTGGCTGTGGCTCTGCTGTAGCAGCTCAGCATGCTCCCGCTGCCCAAGGTCCAGGCGCCGCTCGAACTCCAGCTTCTCCAGCATCTTCTGCTCCTGTGGGAACAAGATGCCTGCCCTTAATGTCTAAAGCAGAGCCAGGAGGACGCTGTCCCTCAACTCTCTGAGGAGCTGTAATCCTCAGGGAGAAGAAAAGTGGCAGGGAAGAGCCCTTACCTTTCTCTTTTCATAGTCAGAAAACCGATTCTGGAGGAAGAAGAGCAGAGTGAGGTCAGAGCGGTGGCTGTGGTTCCATGGCCTGCCCAGCCCTCCCAGCCTGCTCCATGGGATAACACGGAAGGGTGGGAGCTGATAAAGGGTCCTGGGGGCTCCAGAGCAAGAACTGTATGCTTGACGTCATGGGAAGGAAGGAGCTCCAAGACAGCTCTACAAGGCAGTGCTGGGCAGGTGGCCTGGGGCTCCAGAAAGATCAAAACAGGGTCCATCTGCCTCCCTGGCTATCTGAGTAACACACCGCAGCACTCAATTCTGGCCACCCAGACCTCTGCAAGCACAAAGGTACTGTATAGGTTCCTGGAGAAGCTTTACCGAGAGGAACTGGAGATTAACTCAGATATGGCTCAACAGGCATGGCACTAAAGATGCTCTCAAGTGCAACAGGCACAGGCTTGCTGCTTAGCCACCTCTTCCTTCTCCAGTTTCTGTAACTGCTTAGAGAGATGGTCACAGATGCCTTCCCATCAACAATGCAAAGTGGTGAAAGACTCTGACGAGCAAAGGCACACTGCAGGCAGCGGCACAGCAGGCAGCTGGGGTTCCTGCCCGTGGCCGGTGAGAGCACAGGTGGGCAGAGGCAGGTCCTGCCTGCTCCAATAGCAGGTGCACCAGATGACCGTGGCTAACTTTGCTGAGCCTCCTCCTCCTCCTCCTGAGCCTGTGCCATGCTGGCCCACAGCTGGGGACTTCAAAAAAAAGCCTTCGTGCCACTGGTGCTGACCTGTGCGCCTCTTTCCCTAGACCTGAGTCATGGGGCTGTCCTGACCAGTGAGTGGCATGTGGTCAGGAAGTATCGGGGACACAAAGAACAATGCAGACATGCTCCTGTGTGCCTGGAAGCTCCAACAAGCAACGGGGATGGATTGTAACCAAAGTATTTACACACAATCTTTTATTCAGTTCAGCTCTGGTGAGTGCTTGCAGGGCAATGGGAACGACACCAGAGCCCAGAGCAGATCTGACCTAGGCTGGCGACACTCACAGGACACAATGTCTAACCTGAGAACCAGGCTAGAGACATGGCTCAGTAGGTGGAGGTTATGCCTACTGAGTCTGATCCCTAGGACCCGCAGGTGGTAGGAAAGGATGGACTCCTGAGAGTCCTCTGATCTTCATGTGCATTCTTTCTTCTCCACAAAAATAAATGCAGTAAAAGTTTTAAAAATAAACTGAGAGGCTGGAGAGAGGGCTCAGCAGCAGTGAAGTGCTTCATACAAGCATGGCAGTCTGTGGTCAACCAGAACCCACGGAAGAGCAGAGGAGACTCCTACAAAGTCATGCTCGGGCCCCAACATGTGTGCCAGGGTACACAGGTGTACACACACACACACACACACACACACACACAAATAAATAACCTTTTAAAGTTCAAGGCCATCCTTGGATAAATATTAAAAATAAAAAATAAGTACAATAAAATATGAAAATGGAAGAATGAGTGGGGAAGAGGTCCAGGTGGAATGGCTTGTCCCATTATGCTGTGGGAAATGGACATGGTCTGCTCAGGGAACAGAGACACCTGGACAGCTGATGGGTGGTTAGCTGGTGGCCTAGGACAGTTGAGTGTGTGGGTGTGAAAGGAGGAATCTGTGGGTACAGCTCTGAGCACCCCTTATGCCAGCAGCCCTCCAAATTTGCGCAGGCACACCCACGCAGGCACACCCCTTACCTGCCACTCAGCATCCTCCCTGGAGAACCTGCTTATGGGTCCATCGGGGCTGTCCTGGCAGTTCTCAGCTCCATCCTGCTCCAGGACTGGCAGTAGGTACTGAGAAGGTGGGTAGTACTCCAGGCCTGACTCTGTGTGAGACGGGGCACTGGCTGACCAGGAGCACCCAGCTGCTTGCTCCTGCCACCCTTGCTCTCCTCCACTGCAGCCGCCTCACTGGCTCAGTCCACTCTCATCTCCCTAAGCTGGGCCTCCCTGCTGTCTAATAATTATTGCTTGATATCCGGGCTGGTGACATAGGCTTGTAATCTCAGCTACTCAGAAATTAGAACCGCTGCAAGTTCTAAGCCTCCCAGGGCTACAGAACAAGTTCAAGGCCAGCCGGAGTAATGAAGCAAGACTCTGTCTCAAAATGAAAAGCAGAAAAAGGGCTGGGATGAACGGTGGAGCCCTTGCATGTGAGGGCCCAAGTTCAATTCCCTAGGGAGGGAAATGTATGATGTCATATGTACTTGAGCTCTGTAACCAGTATATGCATATTTACTGCTTTATTTTTATGTCTATCATTTACACAAACATTAAGAGAATCTTAAAACATTACTTCGGTACTGAGAGTCTCAGTAGGTAGCCCAGGCTGGCCTCAAATTCACAATCTTCCTGCTTCTGTTTCCCCAAATGTGTAAGCATTATAGGTGAATAATACTCTACCCAGAAAAAAAAATTTTTTTTTCCTTTATTTTAGCAGCTGGGAACTGAAGCCAGAGCCTCATGTATACTAGACAATAGTTCTGCCACAGCCCAAAGAACAGTTAAAGGCAAACACACCCCTACAAGCAGGGGCAGTGCTGGCTTGGAACGCATAGGCGTCCTTGCCCTGTGCCTGGCTTCTCTCCCTCTACTCTGTGGCAGAGACTCTTCCAGCTTGTTGCATGTAGTTTGTCCTTTCCAGTGCTGTGTGCTATTCCCATGTGAGTATGAGACAGTTCATTCACTCTTCTACTGGTGGGCACTGCTATTGCCAACAGTGAGACTGTGAGCATCTGTAGGCAACATGGCTTCTCTTTCTGTTGGGCAAACACCTGGTCACGGAACTGAGTTGAAGACCTGAATGTTTAGCTTAAACAGATAGTGACAACACAGAGAGGGACGGAGAGGGGGCAGAGGAGGGAGAGGGAGGAGGAGGAGGAGAGCGAGAGAGAGAGAGAGAGAGAGAGAGAGAGAGAGAGAGACATAGCTCAGGCTAACCTTGAACTTGCTATGTAACCTAGGCTGATTCAGGACTGACTCTGATCTCCCCGTCTTACCTTTCCAAGTATTCATTCCTATACCCAGCTATAATTTCTTATTTATTTATTTGGAGACCAGATCTCAAATGACTCAGGCTGGCCTTCAACTGCACCATATACCTGCTTCTACTTCTGGAATGCTAGGATTATAGGTCTGTGCCATTCTGCACACACACTATGTGGTCCCGGGGCTTGAACTTAGGGCTTCATGTCCAGCAGAGACACAGCCGCTGAGCTACTTCTCCAGCCTCTAGAGACAGGGTCTCTCAGATGTCATAGCCTGACCTTGGACCGGAGATCATTTTGCCTTGGTTTTTGAAACAGGGTTTCTCTGTGTAGCCTTGGCTTTCCTGGAACTCTCTATGTAGACCAGGCTGGCCCAGATCACAGAGGTCCACCTGCCTCTGTCTCCAGAGTGCTGGGATTAAAGGTGTGCGCCACCGCTACCCTGTGTAACCAGCACTCTTAACTACTAAACCATTTCTCCAGGCCCCAGGGGAATATGCTTTTGAAGGGTACGCATGGGGAGGCTACGAATGTGGAGGCCAGAAGACAATCTGTGTGGGCCCAGGACTTTGTCTGCTGGGCCTGCTTGCCTCTTCCTGTTGGGTATCCGCATCTCCCATCCTGCCTGTGTCTCTCTGCTTTCTGAGCACAGGTAAGCAGCTCTGCTCCAGCCCAGCTCACCACAGCCCAGAAACAATGGAGCCAGCTGATCACAGAGCCAAGTCTTCCTCTCTCGGTTATTTTTTCAGGCACGCTGTCATAACGACAAATGACTAAACCAGCGGTCACACTACAACCCCGGCACTCAGGAGGCGGGGGCCGGTGGCTCTCTGTGATCTAGGCCAGTCTGGTTGACAAAGAGAGTTCTGAGTTCAAGGCTAGCACAGTAAGTTGGTACAATAACAATACATCTGAAGGCAAATAAAAAGAAAATAAATAAAAGTAAATCCTGTTGGATTGGTGCACACTGCAAAGACTGATGGTTGACCTTGTTTAAACACAAGTCTGATTTAGTTAACTAACGCTTATCAGCCTTACTGTTGGTGCTGTCTGTCTCCTACTTAGGAAGGAATCAGGTTTGGGTCTTTCCTCAGAGGATGGAATCCAGGGCCTTGTATACCAGGCAAGCGTTCTTCGCTCTATGTTTGACCTGCAGCTCCAGGCCAATGGATCTGCGACCTTTTGCACACTGATATCTTTCCCTCTGCTTTGCACACATCATGAATAATTCATGAGGACCGGAGGCTCCACTCTGGGAGCATCACAGTTGACTGGAGCCACAGCTGACAACAGCTAATGCTACTCCCTCCTGGTGCCAAGACCAATGGGGGTTGGTTTTAGTCCTCAGTGCTGTTTACCCTTGCTCTTCCTCCAAGCCCGGAGCCACTGGTGTCTCCTGAAGTGGCCCCAGAGACCTGCCTAGCTTGTTGTCTTCCATTTTCTCTTGCCTCCTCCTTTACTATGTGATCTTTGTGAAACCAGATCTCCTGGCTTCATGCCCCTGACCCTTGATTTTTTCCTTCTTGGCCTCCAGCACTCCAACTACGCTGGCCTTCTCTGCATCATGCCTCAGGCTCCCCTTCCTTCCTCTAGGCCCTTTAAAACACCTCCTCTGCTAAACACAGTCTCTTTTCCTGGTCCTAGCTGCCCCTCAGCTGTCAGACATGCTGCTTTCTCAGACAGGCCTTCCCCAGCCCTAACCTAATCCAGACACTGGACCCTACTCTTTCACAGATCAGCCTGGGAGCTCCCTTCCCTGTGATCCTTCACTGTGCCTGTTTCCCTTACTGGGCCCTGACCTCCAGCCAGGCAGCCTATACCAGCCGGTCTCTGCTGTCCCCAGCCTGGTGGCAGGGGATGGCCACTGGGGGTGGCCTGCCTTTACCTTTGCAAAGGAACTGCTGTACGGCCGCAGTGCCGGCGCCACACACCTCTGGTGGGGGATAGACCATGGACAAGGCGTCGAGGCTCAGCGTCTGTGGACACAGGGAACCCCTTCTTTACTGGGTACACCACTTCACCGCTCAGCACAGTTGAAAGTCACCTGACTTCGTTATGAAGTTGGGTGCTTACTGTCTCTCCTACCTACCAGGGGTCCCCAGGGTCCCCGGGCCATATCTGAAGAGCAGTAATCCCACCTGCGTGACACTAGCCACGGTGAGTAAAGCGTGGACTCCGGGCCGCACTGCCTGGTATAGTGGCTGCAAATCACGTGGCCATTTGCACTTCTTGAGTTGCGTGCTCGTGCATGTGTGTATGTGTGGAGGGCCAGGGGGTAACCCTGAGTGCTGGTCACTGGGAGCCATGCACTTTACCTGGTCTCTCATCGGCCTGGAGCTTGTGTAAGTTGGCTAGGTTAGGTGGCTAGTGAGGCCCGGGGGACCCACTTGTCTCTGCCCGACCAGGGCTGGGATTGCAGGGCCCTGGCTTTTATAACCCTGGCGCTAGGGACTGAGTTCAGGTCCTCCAACCACTTTTCCCACTGAGTCATTACCCCAGCCCCATGTTTTTTCTTTTTCTTGAGACAAGATGTTGTTATGTGCGCCAAGCTGCACTGGAACTTGTGACCCTCCTGCCTCCGCCTAAGTGTCATGATTACAGTTGTGCACCGTCACAAGCAGACGTCGTCACTTCAGTTTTAATTAGTTAGGGTCACTGTGGCTATATGAACCCCATGTTGGCTTGGTAGCTACCACTCTTAGGCATCAGTACAGATGACAGCATTTCTATTTCCTGTGGGGAGAGTAGCCACGGATCCTGTCTCTTGAGAGACACTCAGCCTGGCTTTAAAGCCCAGCACAGTATGAAAAAAGGTCCTAAACAGGTCACTTAGGTGTGCTGGGCCATAACTTTCTGAGTGTCACACAGGCACAGTATCCCTGACTTGACAGGATGTATGGAAGGTTAAGGGGACAGCATGTGACTGAGACGGCATACAAGATGGCCTTGTTAACAATGCCTGTGTTCTCACCCTGAGAAAAGGTCTGCCCAAGGGGCCAAGAAGCTCCCAACGGGTTTTTTTTTTTTTTTTTTTTAAAGGAATATGGCGGGGAAGTGAGTCCCATGCGAGCTTGTTGCAGGGCTGGGGCTCAAGCATGCCAGGCAAGCGCTCTACCACTGAGACACGCCCTCAATTCCCGAGGGCTCTTAGTATCTCAGATCAGCTTCAGGAAGAGCTCTGAGTTCTACTGATGCATCTGTAACTGCAAAGCACACGAGACCATTTACTTATGAGTTCATAAAGAGTCAGTAGCACCAGTCAGTGGTTCAGTCACACCAGGCACATTTCAAGCGCTCAGGAGCTGTACATGGCTAGCAGCCACTGAATTGGGCCACACAGTCAGTGGAAACTCTCGTTGCCATGGAACGTTCTCCTAGGAGGCACAGGAAGGTGCTGACTGAACACATTATACTTTGCCGCCTTGTGATGGGCGCCTGTCACAGACACTGTCTCTGTTCACCTGCCACCTCCACAGACACTGGTGCTCTGCAGTCTGGCCTGACAGAGGTGATTCACCTCTGGGGGACTTTGGGATGCTCAGCCAGGCTGTTACCACTGGGACAGATAAGTCTCCATTCCACATACTAAGCTTTACAAAGGTGTCAACCTGAAGGGCTGTTCCAGAGGGCATCCCAGTCCCATCTATGACCAGGTTGTGTGGCCTTTAAGAAGTCCAATAAACTGTGCCTTGGTTTCTTCATTGGAGAAGTCTAACATGCTTCACAGGGATTCTGGGAGGTGGCTTGACACTGCCTTGACACCCTGTGTTTGATCCCTGGCACCACACAAACTGGGTGTATTTGTGCACACCTGTAATCTCAGCACTGTGGAGATGGAGGCAGGAGGATAGAAAGTTCAAGGCTATCCACAGCTACACAGTAAATTCAAGGCCAGCCTGGACTACATGAGACTTTGTTTCACCAAACACACAAATGTGCTAGAAGAGCAACAGGCCTCCCTGTCATGAGTGAGAGCCTACTGTCCCTGAGTGGGCTACCTGGTGCTGGCGTCTGTGGTGGGCTGAGCTGTGTCCCTGCTTCACACACTGACGTCCTAACCCTGCACTTCAGAGTATCACTACATTTAGAGCCAGGCTGGACCCTCACTGGATCCAACTGGTGTCCTTTAAGAAACAGGAGATTTGACATGGACACGCAGTGACAGAGAATGGACACAGGCCATCTGCAGAAGAGCCTCAAAAGGAACCAACCTTGTCAACACCTGGATTTCGGATTCTCATCCAGGTTGTGAGGACATACTTTTGTGTGAGCTGCCTGGTGTGGGGAGCTTCGCTGTATCACCCTGAGATGACAATTCAGAGTCTCGGGGTACACTCACCCTGAGCTCTGAGGAGACGCAGTTTCTACCCTGCCACACTGAGACCATTTCCCTTGCCCGATTCCATCTCTCTCCCCCAGCTTTTTGGGCTCCAGACACAGTAATTTCTGGCCTTATCACTTCCTGTCCCTGCTTGCTTACTGCGCCTTTTCGTCCTGCTCTCTCCACTGGGTGCCCCATTTCCACAGCTACGCCCCAGATCCCATTCCTCTTCAAAGTTCGGCCCCAAGGCCATAGAGTGGGAACCTTCTGGATTCATCTGCTCTCCTTCACTTTGCACTTATGCCCTCCCACCTCCACGACTGCAGCAGTTCCACCGTGACAAGCACTTGCACATCGGTCTCTGAGAGCTCCTGAGGACCACACGAGTCTCTGGCAGCCTGGGTCGAGGCTCTCAGAGGACTGCTCCGGTGAGCAGCACTGGAGAGGAAGTCCACCCTTACCTCCAGGGTCCGCACGTGCGCCAACATCTGGGGCAGTCTCTGAATCTCATTTTCACTGATGTCAAGGGTACGCAGGCTTCGCAGCTCCCCCAGGGTGTCAGGAAGCTCCTTCAGCTTGTTGTCTGCAGAGACCCAGATGGCAGACTCAGTGCTCCAGAGCCTGCTGCCACCTCCTGCTACCCAGAAGATGTGGGATGGGACGCTGGCAGGCTCTGCCACTTCCTGAAGAAGTCAGGACGCCTGGCCATCCCTTCCCGTGCCTTTTCTCTTTAATGCAGCACCACTGTTTCCCCATCCATCACACGATGAGCTGGCACTCTGTGTAAACAGTCTAGGGGCAGCAAGAGTAGATGAAGAGCTTGGCCACAGTGAGGCAAGTCCTCTTTGGAAGATGGTTACCCTGGCATCTTGGCTACTCACTACCTCACTGGGGGTCGGGTGGGGATCCTGAGCAGGCCACACCTGAGCCTCATCTTCCTCATGTTAGCTGGGCAAACCTCATCCTATGCCTGTGTCATGGACTTATCAGGCCAGCCACATTCACAGGGCCAGCATTATTCAGAGCGTCTCGAGCCACACAGAGCCACTGTAGCGGCACCTCCTTCTGTCTTGCCTATCAGTACTTCCCATCACTGAGCTTACCTGTCACTATGGCCTGTCTTTTGCCCCACAAGCCTCTGATTCTGAGGGGTCACGGAATTCTTTAGACACACTGCCTCAGGTTGCCACGGGACAAACTGATCTAGTGGGAAGTCATGACAGCATCACTGTCATACTCAGTGGCTCCCAGGGAGAGCACCCTGTGGGTGCTGGAAGGACAGGGCTGGCCTGATCCTGGACTCCCTGAGGATGACATAAACAGGGCTTGTGTCACCCACCTTTCACATTAAGGGTCTGGAGCTGAAGCAGGTTCCCAATAGAGCGTGGCAGATGCATCAGTTGATTCCTTTCCACATTCAATACCTAAGAAAGAAAACAATGATATGAGGAGGCCGCGGGACGACAGTGGCTGTCTGCACACTCAACCCTGCATCACCGAGGCATGGAATATACCTGCCCTTATTTCTTCCGGTAGCCCTAAGAGGGAGGTATAAGTTGTTGTGGTCCCATTAAAGAGATGAGAAGACTGAAGCTTATAGAGGTTAAGTCATGTGTCTAAACCCTTGGACACACTCCTGTTTGAGGCTTCAGCATCAATGCTAATGAAGAATGCCCAGGAAGAGCATGAACAAATGTGGAGGGAGAAAGGTTGTCAAGGGCTCAGAGAGGCAGTGAGAATTAAAGTATGGTTATCTACTGCTGAGCAACAGGGAGGTAAAGCACTCAGACAGTGGAGGAGCAGCTATAGACAAAGCATCAAGGAGCCAGCAAAGTACAGAATTTGTCCGTTTAAAAAATATATATGAAAATTCATCTTTATTTTATGTGTATAAGCACTCTGCCTACATGTATGTAAGTGTACTACTGGGGGTTTATTTTTGGGGGGAAGTTAAAGCTATGAATCCATAAAATACCACAAGCGCATGCTGAGTCCTGGGAGGGAGACCCTCAGAGCCAGGCTGCACCGGTGAAGGACGCGCTGATGCCGAGAGCAGCCTGGCCCACCGGCGACAGCACATCAGAACCTCCCAGCATCATCAAGTCTGTCCTACAGCCTTACCTGCAGGGCTGTCAGCTGCCCCATGTCATCAGGAAGGGCTGTCAGCTGGTTGTCATGGAGATCCAAAACCTACAGAACAGATGTGTCCGTCAGGCCCCAGAATCCTAGACCCCAGAGGAGTGGGAGGTGACAAGGCCACCTCCTACCCTGGTAACAACAGGGTGACCCTTCCTCCAGCCCACTGTTTAGCATTCCACCTCATGTTCTTTTATTTGTTTACTTTGTTTTGTTTGTTTCTTTGTTTTTGAGACTGGCCTACGTAGCCTTGGCTGACCCGGAACTCACTATGTGAACCAGTCTGGCCTCAAACTCAGAGATCCACCTGCCTCTGAGTACTGGGATTAAAGGCGTGTGCCACCATGCCCAGCTTGCTGTCTCGCTCTCTCTACCTTTCTCTTTTGAGAGGAGGTCTTGCGTGCGGTCCTGGCTGGCGTTGAACTTACAGATCTGCCTGCCTCTGCTGGGACTAAAGGCATGTGCCAGCACCCAGCTCCAGCAGCTTGCCATGGCATCTTCACCGGTGCTCAGGATTGCAGATCTATGCTACCATGTCTGGCTTAAGTGTTCTCTTTTCATTAAACATAAGAATTATCCATGGACTGGGATGTGACTCAGTGGCAGAGCCTGTAATCAGCATGGGGAAGGCCTGGGCATATTGATTCGCACACACACACAAACATAAAGAAAAGAACAAAAAGCCATGGAGTGGGGTTAGAGAGCTGATCTTGCAAAGGACCTAAGTTTGGTTCCCTGTACCCACACTGGACAGCTCAAAATAGCCTATAATTCCAACTCCAGGGGACCCCTCTTTTGGCGTGCTTAGGCACGGGAAGCCTAAGCACATAATGCACGAAGGCAAACAATCATACATATAAAATAAAAATAAATAAATAAATAAATAAATAAATAGATAAATAAATAAATAGATAAATAAATAAATAAATAAATCTCAGACTGGAGAGATGGCTCAGAGGTTAAGAGTACTGGCTATTCTTCCAGAGGTCCTGAGTTCAATTCCAGAAACCATATGGTGACTCACAACCATCAATAATGAGATCTGGCGCCCTCTTCTGGTGAGCAGGCAAAACATCGTATGTCTAATAAATAAATCTTTGAAAAACAAATCTCTTAAAAACACTGAGCGCTGGGTGTGGTGGCACATACTTTCAATTCCAGGATTCAGGAGATAGATCTCTGTGAGTCTGAGGCAAGACTAAACTACACAACCAGTTCTAGGCCAGCCAGGACTGCATAGTGAGACCACATCTGAAAACAAAAGAATCACTATGGAGCAAAGGCTAGCGGCAGCCACACCTGTCAGAGCTAAGGATGGAACGCTGGATGAGAATGCATGCTTCTAGTCTTCACTCTTAGGAGACTGATACTGCAACCGTATTATGATTCTACCATGTCTAGGAGGGGTCCACGGTTAGAACAGAGCCCACCCAGGTCACTGTATCAAACACAATGACTCTCTGGATCCCCTCCCGTTCCCTCTTGTTCGGACCATCATCTCATTCATCCATTGTGCTGACTCGGCCTAGAAATCTCAGAGGGCAGGAGCTCCGGCTGGTTTCTTTACCAACAACACACAGGAGTACTGAGAAAACCACATTGCCCAAACACTACCCAGACCGTACTGTGAGGACCATCTAGTGTAAATATTAACAGGGAACACTCAAGAAGGGTGTGGGGGCTCAGCTGCCACCTGGAGCACCACAGAGGCCCTAGTGCCTAGAGAGGGCCCAGTACCTTGATGGTGGTAAGGCTCGAGAGGTTGCAGGATTTGGGAAGCAGGGAGGTGAGATGGTTTGTATGCACGATCAACACCTGTGAGGCAAAGATGAGAGAGTCAGGTTGCAGAGGAACAACACACAGGGAGGCTAAGGGCAAGCTTGGCACAGGGCGGCCGCGCTGTGCTTTTTGAATGTTTGCGGGGAGGCTGTCAGAACCGTGGGCACTTCTGAACCTGACTCAGATGGCTGAAATTCCCAGGTGAAAGAATCTGGGGGTCTAATTATGTATGCCTCCTGTTCTGAGAAGGGATCAGTTATCATGAGCGCAGCCTTTCCTGGAGCTAATGTTTCATGGGAAATAGAGCAATAAAGTGCAGTTCTTCAAGGGCAGCCATGATAATTAATAAGCTAACTGGTTGAACAGTGTTTAGCCCAGGCTGTCTGTCACGTGGTCTGCTACTCAGCCTGTGTCAACCGTGGCTGTTTCTGTTAGACATTAACTCCTGCTCTGATGTTTTACAAGTAAGAATTTCACTTCACTATTGGCAGGGAACACATTTTACCTTTCTGTGTCCAGATCTGGAGGTGTGCACGCACCCACCCGTACGCACAGCCTAGAACGACCTTCTGAAAATGCTTCCATCCCCTTCTAATTCTGAGGGACTGCCAAAATGCAGTCAGTTAAGACACTGGGGGCGGGGAGGATAACTGTATGACAGGCAGACTCCTCTATCACTCATTTAAATCATGTAACACCAGGACACAGCTACGTCTTCTTCACTCCACAGATGAAGAAAGGGGCTGTGGCCTGGAGATGGCCCAGTGATTGACAGCACTAACTGTTCCTCCAGAGAACCCAGGGGTTTGGTTCCCAGCGTCAGCAGGGTGGCTCAGAACCATGTAGAACTGCAGTTCCAGAGATTTTGACGGGCTCTGGCCTCTCCAGGTACCACACAGGCATGTGGTACAGACAGACACATAAGCAGAATACCCATATGTACAAAATTCTAATTAATAAAAGAAAAAGACAGAGCTGTGAACATGTAAGGAGGCTAAGTCACAAAGCTAGTGAGAGGCAGAGCCTGGCGCAGCCCAGAGTGTCCAACCTCGGAGTCTGCTTTCCTAATTGTGACAACCTATACTGCAGGCCAGAAGGGTGAAGGCAGAGAGAAGAAAGGTGGCTGTGTAGATGATGGCTCCTCTAAATTCCAGTGGTTTCCCCCAAGCAGATACTCAGTAGGTCTTTCTCTGAGCCATGACCCTGCTCACCTTTTTCTGCAGAACTTTGCATGTTGCAAAGGCCCCAAATGGGATCTAAGAAATGAAAAAGAAGAGTCAGTACTGCCTCGCCTGCCAGTGTCTTGCCTGCTCTCTTAGTGGTAGCTCTGGTGTTGGGAAGTGTGGCAGGTGACCCGGAACAGGAAACCTCTGACCTGGAGAATAGTGCTCAGCTAGGAGAGGGCTGGGAAAGAATGGGGCTGGGGGTATTGTCGGCCCTCCTCCAATCAGATGGCAGGACATACTCTGTGGTGTCAGGAACCTTCAGGGGGTAGAGAACCAGCTCCTCCAGCACCTCAGGAATCTATAGATGTGCTCCCCTTCTTCCCACAGTGCTAGGGACTGAACCCAGGGCATCGTGCATGCTTGACAAACTCCACCACTGAGTTTGATTCCCAGTTTTACTATGTAGCCCAGGCTGACCTCAAACTTATGATCCTCCCTACTTCTGCCTTCCAAATGGAATGCTGGGAGTAAAGGGGCACTCCGCTATCCCTGGCTCATTTTCTAAGTAGGCCCTGACTTCTGGAGAATATGCTGAGGCCAAAAGATCATCTCAATTCTTTTGGGCAAGAACGAAATAAAAGGAACATCTCTTAATTAGGGCTTCTACATGCACACACTCAAGAGGCTGATCCCGAGTGTCTTATGCCCTTCCTTAGGTTTCTGAGACAGACTCTCACTGAACTCACTGATTCAGCTAGGATGGTTGGTCAGCAAGCCCCAGGGGACGCACGCTTACAGGGCAAGTGTTTAACTTGGAGCCATCTGCCCATCTTTACTTCTGCCATTTTGAAAGTCGCAGCCCACATCTGTTTATTGGGCCCAAGGACACAGGGCCCAATTATTTCACAGCCTTAAACGTCCCCAGTTTACCTCAGTGAGTTCACATTTAGAGATATCAAGAATGTCATCTGCCCCGGCTTCTTTTGCCTAAGGAGAAAAAAAAAAAAAAAGTTTATGAATAAGTGTTTTTGAGACAGGGTCTCACGTAGCTTCAAACTCATCATGTGGACAAAGTTGGTCTCTAACTCCTCATCCTCCTGCTTGCTGCTTCCAGGGATTAGCTCTCTGTACAGGCTTGAGAGAAAGGTCTTTGAAAAAGTCAAGTGTCCCAGGCAGTGGTGGTGCACGCCTTCAATCCCAACACTTGGGAGGCAGAGGCAGGTATATCTCTGAGTTCAAGGCCAGTCTGGTCTACAGATCAAGTTTCAGGATAGCCAAGGCTATAAAGAGAAATGCCTCTCATCCCTCCAAAAAAAAAAAAAAAAAAAAAAAAAGTCTTCAACTCCTGTGTGTTTACAAAAGCTCTGTTAATTCCATAAAGGTTTCCATATTCGTGGCGTTTAAGTTCTTAAAGTGGTAACTGGTTTTGCTTTGTTTTCAGCTTTGAAGTTTGTTTGTTTATTTATTTTTGGTTGTTGTTTGTTCACTACGCACAACACCTTCCAGGACTCGTTAATCTGCCATCAGTGGCTGTGCGGGGTACTGCATTGCAGCTCTCTCCTGGTGACACTATCGGCAAGCTCAGCCATCTACGCACGAGAAGATCTCAGGCTATAGCTCAGGCTGACCTAGAGCTCACACTCTGTAGCCCTTCATAGCTTTGAAGCTGTGGCAATCTTCTTGCCTCTGCCTCCCAAGGGCTGGGGCAAGCCACAAACAAAACAAAATAAAACAAAACAAACAAACAAAAAATGTACAAGAAAATAAGAAGAGAAACATAGATGTAAGGAGCTGAAAGGGCTCACGGCCACAGCCTGCTTTTACTGGTCCATTTGGCAGGTGGGCTAGTGACTGAGGTCCAGCAGGGAAAGAAAGCAGCCAGTAGTGCCATGCACTCAGCCCGTGAGGAAGGGCACTCCCATGGTGCGAAGGCACAGCAAACACCCTGGCTACATCCCAGGGGCAGAGGCGGAGCCTAGGAGTCAGAGACCATACGCTGTGCCTTACCAGACACATCTGGTACTCCAGGCGCTTCCGAGCCTCCTCACTCGGTTTCCGCTTCCGAAAGAAGAGGGGCATCCTCCTGAGTTCTTCTGGACCCTGGAGCATGGGACAGAAGTCAGCGCCTGGGAACTTGCAGACAGAGCCTGACACTGCGGACAGGAAGCTCAGAGATGCAGGCAGTTGGCCTGCTGGACGTGACTTCCATGTGGGCAGGGCTGTCTGCCTCTTTCAGGTGAGCCCTGAGCCCACACGGCAGGGCTCAACATTCTGTTTTGTTGACAAAGCAATAAACACAAAATAGGGATGAAAGAACATAAAGCAGGCCAGGTGCTCTGGGTTTGGCCTAATTTGCCACTGACCCTCCGAGGCATTGGCATCACTTTCCTTGTGCTGAGCCCCACGTTTTCCCCACCGTAGGGATGGTTCCTCCATGTGCCTTCCAAGGATGTTCTCCATGGACTCTAGACAGATCCAGCGGATGAGTCACTTCTAGCGCTGGAACTGTCAGAATGGCACCATCTAGAGCCAGCTGGAGGTAGTCATGACTTGGGAAACTCAACTACGTCAAGACTAAGTTAAATGAAAATTAAAATGTAGTCTTCAGACACCTTACCATCCTCACAGCTATTGTTCACTTGGTTCTCACTATAGCCCCGTGGGGAATCAGCTGCTCATGAAGCTCAGTGATCTGGCTGTATGACCTGGACTGCAGAGAAACCAGCCTGGGGCACTTGCCTTTCAAGTCTGGTGATCCTGAGTAGCTTGCGAAGCTCCCTGGATCTCACAGTTCCGCCAAGTTAATCATTCTGTCCTGAACTCAGAAGCTGGGTACCCATACTTCCAGTGCTGTATGAGGGCCAGCAACAAGAAGGAAGCAATCATCTGGAGGAAATGTGTAGCTAACAGCATAGGCTTTGACACCCAACACATCAGCTGTGTCACTTTGGGAGACCCGTCAGAGCCTGTTCCTCATCTGTAGGGTGGAGTGATGTTGCTGGGTTGTGTGGGGCTCAACGATTTCATGTATTTCAGGTGTATGCCATAGAATCTGACACAGCGCTCCACACACAGGACAAATGGATCAGGGACTATTACGGGTGCCAGGGAGAAAAGGGCTAGAGGAGTCTTGCAGTTGAAGACACATCACATCTCCATGCATGGGTGTGGGCTGCAGGAAGGGGTTGCCAGGCCTGCAAGGCCAGCTCAGGCTCTTTCCTCACTCACTTGCCGGCACTTCTGAGGGATGATGTAAAAACAGTTCTCCTCTGTCCCTTACAGACAACCTGACTTTAGCCTTCTGCTCACTAAAGACCAGTCCTCCCACAGCCCTGTTCTCCTGTTCTAGGTATCCAAATGTTCTCTTCAATGACTATCTCTCCCCCAAGTCCTCTTCTCTAGTAGTTCTCAACAGGATTCTTTCAAATCTGGTTTGAACTTCCCTGATGGTTCAGTTTGGTTGTGGAGAGCCACACCCATCCTTCCCCAGAACGGCTGGCTAGAGGCTGACCTGGCTTTGTGGATGGAGAGGTCCTCCACCGATGATTCTGGGGTGGACCTCAAGGAAGGCCAATCACTCTGAGGGTTTGGTCATAGATGCAGATCGTCGGCCTCAGAAAGCTGACCTGGAATCGGGTTTCCTGTAAACATAGGAAGTGAGGACCAAAACTCTAAAACCGAAAATCATGCAGCTCAGGATGACAAAGTCTTGAGACTCCAAAAACCAGGGACTGCAGAATTAAGAGTCATGATTTAGACCCTAACAGTTTGCTCCTATAACTAAAATGCATACAACTGTAAATGCATTAGAAGGGTACTAGGATAGCATTGGTCTGGGGGTCCCGCATGACAGGTGCGGATCCCTTAGGGGAGGGGTGGGACCCTGGGTTTAGATACCACGGACTCTAGAGTCACCCTTATGAGAAGGGAACGTGGAGTATTTACATCAGGAACCAGGACCTCGGGGGCAGCCCCTCTACTCTGACTATACCGGGGTAAGGTGCTCCGAACACCCACCCCTTCAGAATCCCCAGCTCACCCATATACCCAGCTCTCCAGTCCTCAACCGCGGACGCCTGCCCATAAAAAACAGGACGGCGAGGGCGTCGCCCAGAGACTGGGCGGAGACAGCGGCTATCGCGAGAGCTGAGCTTTTCCGACTATATCCGGCGTGGGCGGGGTGGGATCTGTCTTTTCCGCTTTCGGCTCGGAGGAGGCAACGGTGCAACTTTCTTCGGTCGTCCCGAATCCGGGTTCATCCGACACCAGCCGCCTCCACCATGCCGCCCAAGTTCGACCCCAACGAGATCAAAGTCGGTGCGTGCCCCCGCCGCGGCCGGGCCACGGGCGGAGCCTTTCCCGCCGCGTGCTGTCCCCGCGCCTGGCGGGTCTCCCTTGGGCCTCAGCTTTTTCGTGTGTAAATGGGGAGGGAGTGCCGACGCTTTTGCAGCCGGTGCGCCTGTGGCCCCGCGAGGTCTGCGGCCCGAGGGCAGCGCGCAGGGCGGCCTGCGGCGCAGCGCTCTCCGCAGAGGTTCTAATTGTGCATTTTCTCAGTGTACTTGAGGTGCACCGGAGGTGAGGTCGGTGCCACGTCCGCGTTGGCCCCCAAGATCGGCCCTCTGGGTCTGGTAAGTCGTCGCTGCCGCGACCTTTAGGCATATTACCGTGAGCGCAGACGTGTAACTTCCGTGGCGTTTTGCCTGCATGTGTGCGTGTTCCTTTGGAGGTCTGAAGCCGGCGCCACGTGTCTGTTGTGGGCCACCATGTGGATGCTGGGATTCAAACTCGGGTAATGTGTAGGGGCCATAGAGAAGTTACGATAACCTATGTAGGGCTCGTACCACGCCACAGTTGTAGTCCTCGGGCTTGGTTGGATATGCCTTTCCTCTGAGCTGAGCCGTGTTGCAGGTTCACTCCTGCTTCCCTTGGCCTTTCTAGAGGTCAAGTGGAAGCTCTGACATCAGGTGCATGGCGACAGGAGGTGGTGTTCCTAACCTTGTTCCTGGATGGAGCAGTGCATTCGGTGTGTGGGTGGTTACGTCCTAGGCGCTGGCTTATGCTGTTAAAGGAGCATCCTCCGTAGGTAACACATGCAAACCTATCGTTTAAAGCTCAGTTTGTTTTGCATCGTTAGCCAATAGAGTAGAGTTGGCTTAGTAAATGAGACCATGGTGGGCAGGCTCGTCTGGAATGGTGCTGGGAGGCTGGAGTCCTGGTAAGCAGTGAGTTTAAAAGGCTGTGGCTTCAACTTGGGGTACGTGGTAATTGATGCCGTTATTTCTGCAGTCTCCAAAAAAAGTTGGTGATGACATTGCCAAGGCTACCGGTGACTGGAAAGGTCTGAGGATTACAGTGAAACTGACCATCCAGAACAGACAGGCCCAGGTATTTACAGTGCTTGGTGTGGGGGGAGGGAATCATGGGTAGTAGAAAGATCTTACTGCCCTGGTGCAACAGGCAGTTTTATCTTTGTGGGAAAGCTGTAAGGCAGAAATGCTTATTGTGCAGATAGGTGGTGAGTGCCAGGGTGCAGGAGGTCCTAGGGATTTGATTCAGGTCAGGCTCAGCAGGAAGTACCTTCATAGCTATCTTGCTGGCACCTTTAGCCTGTTTTAGTGGTTGTATTATTGGAGCTTTCCTGGGCTGTGTGTTCATATCAAGTTTCTCTCACAGATTGAGGTGGTGCCTTCTGCTTCTGCCCTGATCATCAAAGCACTCAAGGAGCCACCAAGAGACAGAAAGAAGCAGAAGAACAGTGAGTTGATTGCCGTCCCCTGGGTCCCCTCTCAAGTTTGCTGCTTGGCGGAGGAGTGCCACTTGATGAAACCTAGGGTTGGAATGGGATAACTTTGGTGCATGGCTCTTCCTCTGGGTGCAGGGATCAAGAGTTAGTACCCCAGGGTTGATTTATACGGGGGGGGGGTAAGGCTGTTGGTTTCTATCCCTAAAATAGTGTGCTAGGGCAGCTGGTGAGGGCTTGATTTCTGCCCTAGCCACCCGCCACTGCACCTGACCGTATTGTTGGCTGGTGCAATCCAGTGGTGAGCTGACAGTAAGCCCCAGCTTTTAGGAAACAGGGTTGTCCTACATGTGGATGACTCTGTGCCGAAAGCATGGGAACAGCCTAGAGATCAGTAAAATCGGGATCTTTACTCAGGTTGGGTACAAGCTTTTAAGAAGCCTTTGTGTGTTTTTTTTTTTTCCTTCAGTCAAACACAGTGGAAATATTACCTTTGATGAGATTGTCAACATTGCCAGACAAATGAGACACCGTTCTTTAGCCAGAGAGCTTTCTGGAACTATTAAGGAGATCCTGGGTACTGCACAGTCTGTGGGCTGCAATGTGGATGGCCGCCACCCTCATGACATCATAGATGACATCAACAGTGGTGCGATGGAGTGCCCAGCTGTAAGTGATTTTGCATGGTTCCCCTTGTTACTAGGGGAACACAGGGTGGGGGGCTGTGCTCTTCTGTCTTAATGGGGTGAAAATTCTTTGTGTGTCTATGCCCCATTGTGATTGAAACTTTTCTTCTCTTTCCCACAGAGTTAAGAAGCAACAAGAGTATTTAAATAAAGAACCATCTGATAAACTGCGCCTGGCTGCTTTTTTTTTTTTTTTTGGGCAGGGCCTGCGTTGGGATATTTAGTATGGGTATGGTGTCAGAAATCGAGGGTGCACAAAGTAATAGACTTGTATTTCCCTGATGACGAAGGACAGTGAACATCTCTGCCATTTGCTATTCCTCTGTTTAGTTCTTTATCCCATTTTTAACTGGATTCTTTGATTTACTGATATTTAATTTCTTGAGTTCTTTGCATTGTGGGACAGGCTCCTAACAGCCAAGAAGGAAAGGTGTGGTTATGGAGGCCCAGGGCTGCCAGGGAGAATCCTGCCCTAGTCTGTCTAGTTGAGGTTAGGTCAGTTTTAAAAGATTGTGTATACAGTGTTCTACCAGCATGTGTGCCTGCTCTCTAGAAGAGGGTCAGATCTCAGATGGGAATTGAGTTCTGAAGTTAGCAGTCAGTGCTCTTAACTGCTGAGCCATATCTCCAGCCCAGATTAAGATTACATGAGTTTCCTGGTACCATATGAAGTAGCTTCAAAACCAACTGCAATTCCAGCCCTTAGGGATTTGGTGCCACCTGCTGTGTGAGCACCTATACACATGGGGATTCATTTACAAGCATAAACAAATTTCCAAAGGGGAGTTGGGCCAAAACTACTACAAAGCATAAGGTTAACTCATGTACTGCAAAAACCCCAAACTAAAACTGAGGCAGTTTCCTCAGAGGTTAGGAATGTCTGTTCTTCCAAAATTCATAAAATTACCAGCAACCACGTGGTGGCTCAACAATCCAGAGATCTGACAGGCAAGATGTATGGTGGAACCTGGCCCTAACCTCATACTTGCAAAAGACTGAAAGGTTTTTCCTCTGGTTTTTTTTTTTTTTTGGTTTGAAACTTATGGGTTCAGTTCCCAGTACCCATATGGGGCGCTCACAATCACCTGTAACCCCAGTTCCAGGGAATTCACCCTCTTCAGTGTGTGGGTGTACACATAATGTTAAATATTGTCGCCCAAAATCTTTGCATATATACTTGCAGCAGTGCTCATAAAGACCTGTAAGTGGATACGCTAAAATGCACACTTATCGGGAGATAAGGGGGGATATATAGGGATAATCAGTTATAAACAGGACTGATATGTAGCTACAAGCCATAACATGGTTGAACCCTGAGAACACAGTCTTAAAAGGTCATGTGTGAATTTATCATTGTAAAATGACCTCGGTAAATCCAGACAGCCGATTTTTGGTTCGAAGAACTTGGAACATGGAGTAAGGTCTGAGGAGTGACTAATAGGTAAGTTTTTCTTCCAGGTGATGGAGATGTAACAGCCTGGAGAGAAGAGTAAGGACTGAACACAAGTTTTAGCATAGACCTGCTGATGTGCCCCTAGCCCCACTGTAGTCTTTGTGATGCAGGGAGGATAGGCACACATCTGTACTCCAGTGCCTTCAAACGCTATTTCACTTCGGTTGCAGTTCTTAGAGGCAGGAGGAGTAGCTCAGATCTGTTTTCCACAAAGAAACCCAGGGTTAGACTCTTGGTCCCTCAGTCAGAAGGGTCTGGGCTGCTTACAGAGGGGCACTGGATAACAGGCAGATTACGCGTAGACCACTGGGGCCAGAGGTCTTCGAACTCCTCAGATCCCACAGCTCTTGGCTCGGACCGCCTAGAGAACGCGTGTGGAAACTTTCTGTTTGGGACTTCCGGTAAATGGACGGATTGGAACAACTACACAGCTTTCCGCCTCTTCTCGCCCGTCCTGCACAGCCGACATAGGCGCTTCCAAGCAGCTTCGGGGACCTCTGCGTCCCTCACCCTCAAGGGCGGCCTCACCCCGCGGCAGGCCGGCGCGCCAGAACTGCGCCACTTCCGGCTATGCCCAGTTCGCACACCGAAACCCACTTCCGACACGCTGCGCATGTATCCTCCTCTGGCGACACACTGCGCAGGTATCCTCCTCTGCAGGCTCTTCCTTCCGCCGGGAAGGTCGCCCTCGTTGTTTCGTGGGGTGTGTCTTACAGAGAAGCCCCCTCATGCCTGCCCTTGATCTCAGAGCCCCTTATCTTTCAAGTCTCACTAGGATCCGGATGTGGAACCTCGGACAGGGAGTGACCAGGCCGCCAGGGATGCCGGGAAGGATGCTTATCTTGGCAGTGGGCGCCGATATTCAATGATGTTTCAGTGGACTTTCTCGGAGAACATTTGACGTTTCTTCCCACTCAAGTTGGGAATTAACTTCTCAAGCAAGTTGGTGGTGGAGCGTGGTCCGGGAGAGAAAGGAAGAAAACTCCCGCAGAGGAAAGCAGCCTGGAGCTCACCCCGCCCTGCTGACCGGACTTGATCAGCAGGCAGGATGAGCTCTGGGGCCTAGGGAGTCAGGTTTTTCACTGCTTGGGATCGAGGACGCCCAAAGAGCATAATCACCTAGCGTGATCTTGTTAACTCCTGTGAGAGCCGCAGGTCTTAAGCAGGTTTTCTGCCTCCAGTCCTGTGATCTCACTTTTGGCCGCCGGGAGGTAGCAGAGCGCTTCAGGCGTCAGGTGATGTCATTCCTCACATGGCTACTTAGCGGGCACTCCTGCGCTTTTCAGAAACCAGGATTTGCCCATTATCCTGGGAATAATGGTAGTGTGGATGTGGTAAGAAGTAGTTGATAGTTGTGGGTGGTGCAGATTTCTCTCCTGGGCTGAATAGAGCTGTGCCTGCTGTACCTCCCTTCTGAGGATACCTACCTGCCCCTCTCCGTGTGCTGACCCCTGGACTCCTGGGGGCAGATACACGACTGTCTGCTGGAGCTGGCTCTTGGCCTGTCAGAATTAACACTGATGGGAAGGCTCCGGAGACTAAGGAGGCCTGATGGACTGTAACGATCCACAAAGCACTGGCATTTTGAAGTGGGTGGTGGTAGAAATCAGTACACTGAGAAGCAGGGTGGAGACTAAACCAGGAGAAAAGGTTTTCGATGTTTCAAACTTCAGCCAGGCTTGGTAGTATGTATCTGGAATCCCAGCACTGGGGAAACTAAAGATTGAGAGTTCAAGGCCAGCCTGGTTTATAGAGTGAAGACCTTCCTTGAAAACTGTCTTTCAAATGTCCACTTATGATACATCCCTGATGCTTCACACTTTGTCCTGTCACCCCTCACCAACAGCTGCTGTGGACCTAGCACTTAACTCTGCCATCCTCAGTTCCAAGTACTTTACATACCTCAACACCATGCCATTTAAAGATGAATAACTGGCCCAGAGAGGTTAAGCGACCTGGTCCAGGTCACACAGGCAGTGAGTAGTCACTGGAATTCGAGTCAAGCATACTCGACTTAGCCCTTTCCCCATGCTGCCCGGCTCCTGCCCCCAGATTACAGTGAGTATGGTTTGAAGTCACAAGGACATATTGCTTACAGGTTTAATCACCTCTCTGTTGGCCTATGGGCCTGACCTTCTGCCTGCCTTCTAGTCTTTCACTGGTCCGCCGGCAGAGGTTGGATAATGTGGCTAAGCCACAGTCATCCTTTGCAAGGGCCAGTCTTCTGTGGCTGAGAATGGGTGGTCTGAGCAGACAGTGGGGTGGGCAGGCCGTTTGCCTCAGCCCCTGTGGCCTGGTGTGTCCAGCCAATAGCTTCCCTAGTCATAACCACCTCTGTGTCAGTTTGAGGGACTATTGCTATTGCATGGCCTTTGCTGCTGACTCCCTGAGAACTGCCTTGGCAATGAAGGGGAGGGTCTTCTCATACACAACCAGGTGTAGCTTATCAGGATGGATGGGCTGCTCTAACTGCATCTTACCGACCAGCAGCCACACCTGTCAGGTTTCGTCTTGTGAAGGTGTACTCTTGATGTACTGTTACCTTCTTCATGTACACCCTCACCCTCAAATCCCCTCACCTCTCGTTCCTTCCTAGTGTCTCTTTGCTTCGCCATCCATCTCTACCTATCGCCCTCTCCCCTTCTGAGCTCCATCTGTTGTCAGTCTCTCCTGTTTCTTTTTATGAATCTACGTATGACACCTAAATTCTCAATAGGCAGGACACTAGAAACAACCTAAATGTAGACTACGGAATTAAGTTCTAATTAACCCTAAGAGAGGGTTTACTTAAGTACTGATATGGCTATCCAATGGGATAATTCTACACCCAGTAACTATCTGAGCATCTCTGTTTGCCAGGAATCAAGTCAGCATGGTAATTACCGAACTGGCACACTTATCTCCATTTCTTCTGTGAAAAATCCCACTGAATGGCACTGGAAATATGTAGATAAAAACAAATCTATAATGCATCAGGGAGGTGTGTGTGTGAGATGGGAGACTTACGCCAGGTACTGTAATGTAGCTTGTGGTTCTCCAACCCTAAGCATAAGCATGGAAAAGACACCAGAGAAGTCAGTTGTTTGAGATCGGCCAAGATAACCAGATCAACCCCTTAGAGGAGGAAAATAGAAGACAGCTTTCGAAAGTGAAGATCTACAGCTTGCTTTACTTATTACAGGAAATAAACATCATGTACATGGAGCTGCCGGAACTCAGGCACTGAAAGTGGGATGGAAAACAGTTCAACTTTGGAAAGTTGAAGCAGCTTCTAAAATAAACTAGCCCAGCAGTTCCACTCCACACAGAAGATATGTCTGCAGAAGTGTAGCCGATAATAGCCCCAAACTGGAAATAGCTCATTTTCCAGTGACAATAAGGAAGTGAATTGTTGATGCTCCTAACCACGTGAGTCCAAAAAGTGCTGTGCTGCATTAAAGAAGCCAGGCATACAGGCCTTGAACTATGTGATTACGTCTTTATAAAACTCTACGAAAAGCATGGCAGAGAGCACAGGGCACTGGCTTCTAGAACCATAGACGAAGGAGGTGACGAAGGTCTGCAGGGATGTGAAAGTGTGATGATGGGTCCTGTCCCTTGAGTGTGGTGGTGGCTCATGTTTGCTATAAATCATTACAATTTATACTTATACTTGTTTGATTCTGTTTATGTAAATAATGCCTCAATCAATCTGATTTTTTATTTTCTTTTTTGGTTTTTCAAGACAGGGTTTCTCTGGGTAGCCTTGGCTGTCCTGGACTTCGTTTGTAAAACAGGCTGACCTCACATTCAGAGATCCACCTGCCTCTGCCTCCTGGAGTGCTGGGATTACAGATCAATCTGATTTTCAAATGGTGGAAGTGTATATCCTTAGAAAAGACAGAAAAGGCATCCATCCCTTTAAATGGCATAAAATGCTAAGAAGACATAGAGAGTAAGAGAAAGTAAGGGCTGGAGAGATGGCTCAGTCAGTATAAAAGCCTTGCTCTGCAAGCCTCGGGACCTGAGTTTGGACCCCAGGTCCCACATCTAAAAGCTGGGTATGGTCATCGGTCAGCAGCAGCACGGCCATTTCCTGAATCTCGTGCTTGTCTTTGGGCTGGTGTCACACTGTCAGCAGTCCTGGGCCACCAGCTTGCTGACTCACTCTGCAGTTCTCAGGCCTTATCAGCCCCGTGCAATAACTCTTTGTACATCCTGTCTCCGTGGCTTTTGTTTCTCTGGGCCTCACACAGAAGACCTGGGCCACAACACCCAACAGCTCACTCAGCTTCAGTGACACAGAAGAATATGTCACCCCACAAAAGCTGTGATTCTGCTCAAGATCCTTCACTACGAGAGAGTGTGTTCTCATAATCCTTAATAAATTAAAATATCCTTAAGAAATTAAAATTGCTTTAAAGCATGACTGGCAAAGCAAAAATATTTGTAGAAGATAAAGTAAAAAAACAAACCCAGAGCACAGGGGATGGAGAGATGGCTCACAGGTTAAGAGCACTGGCTGCTCTTCCAGAGGACCCAGGTTCAATTCCCAGGAACCACATGGTGGCTCACAACCATCTATAATGGAATGCAGTCTGAGGCTCTCTCCTATCCTGAAGGCATACATGCAAATACAACACTAATATGCATAAATAAATCTTTAAAAAAAAAAAGACTGGAATCCACAAATCCAGAACACACAGCAAAGACACAAAAAGGTGTCAGTGAAAGTGGGTGTGGCGTTGCATACATGGAATTGCAGCACTCAATACACTGAGTTTTAGGTTGGCCTGGGCTGCTGCAGAGCAAGAACTTACCTCAGTGTCCTCCCCTGAGAATCTTCAATGAAAAACTGAGAGAAAAGCATCAAGCCAGGGAGAACAGTGTCCACTAAACAGTCCAGACAGTGGGGGAGTGGCAACGTGACAGAACAAGAAGGGGGGGGGGGGAAGTCAAGGGCTGGGGCAGAAGAATCAGAGAGATAGGAGATGGACTACAGAGTGAGACTGTCCCTAAAATTAAAAAAAAAAAAAAAGTCATAAGCAAAAGCAGATTTACAAGTATACACTTTTTTGTCCAACTTGAGATTGTGAAGGCTACAACAGTGTTCCACCCACAGGGTTAACTGGCAACACAGTTTCCATCAGCTACAGTGGTCATCATGGGGTTGAAAAATGACTCAGAGGGTAAAAGCTTTGAAGCCTGGAAATTTGAGTTCAACCCCGGGGGGCCAAAGCTGTCTTCTGATCTCCACAGATGAGCTATGACAAAAGTGCCTCCCAATAAATAAATGTAAAAAAGTAAACAAACATGTAATTAAAAAAAAAAAAAGGGGCTGGGGAGATGTATGAGGACCTCAATTGAGATCTCAGCATGCTCAGAAAGCTAGGCAAGAGGGCTGGTGAGACGACTTGATGGGGACCAGGACCCAGGACCCACGTCATGGAAGGAAAAAACCAACTCCTGCAAGCTGTTCTGACTTCTACTTGTGTGCTATGGATCATGCAGTCCCACAGAATAAAGAAAATTCAACTTGAAAAGCTGGGCATGGCAGCTGTGCCTGGGGGGAGGGGTAGACACTAGGCCCCCGGGGCTTGCTGAGAGACCCTGCCTCAAGAGTTCAGGGGGTAGGCTGGAGAGATGATTCAACCTAGACTGCGCTTGCAGAGGACACCAGAGCTCTATTCACTGCCCGTAATCAGGCAGCTTACAAGTGCCTGTAACCCAACCCCTAGAGGATCAAATGCTTCTGGCCTCTGTGGGCCAGATATGTCCTCAATCACACACACAATTAAGTCTATAAAAAGGTGGAGCAACTAAGGGAGATACAGAATCACTATCTGGTGTACACACACACACACACACACACACACACACACACACACACACGATCACACATGTTCACATATATAGTACACCCACACACAAAAATAAAAAACAGAAAACAAATGACAGCAGATGGCTGGGAGGCGCAGCATGGTGCTAGAGTGTTTGGCTGGCCAGCGTGCACCTGGCTTTGTGCTCAGTCGCCAGCAATGGAAAAGCAAAAACACAGTGGCGGTGAAATAAAGCCTTTCAAGGCATTCGGGGACAGACTATCTCCTTCACACCTGCCTGAGAGAAACTTCTGTGATCCTGAAAGGTGGTCACTCTGTGAAGGTTTCAGAAAATTAAATGGGCTCCAACGAGCAAGAAATACTTGGATTAACCCAACAGTTCGCAGATTGAAAACCTAGGACCACAGCTTCTCAAGTTGGCTAGAAAGACAGAATGACACTTAAGGGAACTGAGGCAGAAGGATTGCAGTATGTTCCAGGCCAACCTGGGATACATTAATACAATTTAGGCTAGCCTGGGTTACATATTAAAAAAAAAAAAAAAAAAAAACCCAGCCAGGCACGATGGCACATACCTTTAATCCCAGCAGGAGGATCTCTGTTGAGTTCTAGGACAGCCTGTCCTATATAGTGAATTCCAAGAGAGTCAAGGCTACACAGTGAGACCTTGTCTCAAACAAACAAACAAACAAACAAACAAACAAATGCCTCAAATGAATTCCACCAACAGCTAACATAGTGCAAAGACAGACTGTTTAGAAGGCTGGTGGGGATTACAATGTTTCCTGAGGGGGAAAAAAAAAGTCCAGTCTTACTATTGTCTTCACTAAGGCAAAGACAAATAACAGACAGTGAAAGTGGGTATGGGGGTGAGGGCTTGTTACGGAGCCACAGTCTTGGGGCTACCTCTGGGAAGGGGCAGCTTTTTCATGCAAGTACCTAGCAGATGTCTGGCTGCTGGACGAATCATGTTAATGTATCTGTCCTCTAATTTACTCCAGTGAGTATGTACTGATCATGATACAAACGACCTGCAAAAGACTTCTGGCTGCATTAAAGTTGAGCAGAAAGAGGTATTTTATTTTCTGAAACTTAACAAGACTTGGTGGCCAATGACCCAGGATGCTGAGCCCAGGAAAGAGCTGGAAAGAACCTGCCTGTGATGAATAAGCTGGCTCACCCCAAGGTGAATCCACAGGCTCTCCAGGCAGGGCTGAGGGTTCACTTGACTAGAACATTCTCTTCTCCACCTGGGCTCACATAAAGAGGTCACGACCTTGTTTCTGGGACCAACCTTTATGTGGCTAAGTTCCTTTCTGATCCCACAGTCTAGTGTGAGGCACAGGTAGCTGCTTAGGGCCCAGCGCCCCCGAGACCTTCAGCCAGAAAACAGGAGTCAGGAGCCTCCAGGTTGCTTCAGCCTCGTGAGCTTTAGGACTAAAGAAGGCTGCAGAGACTAGACCCAGAATCTGGTGAACCTCATGGTGTGGGTCGGGTTTGAGATCTGGACAAGGAGGATCCAGAGGCCTGAGGAGTCAGGGTTTGGGGCTCCCGGCTCAAACTGGGGGTGTGGCTTGGCAACAGGCTTATCCACTCCTGAAACCCAAAGCAAACCCATCTCAGGGCTGCCAGTCACAGAAAGGGGTTGTCATCGTCTCTCAAAATGGGCTGTGATTTGTTCCAGAGTCCTGCCTTTAGTCTCAGGGACAAAGGTCAAAGTGAAAAGGACACTGAGGATGCAGAAGGCAGCGGTGAGCCAGAAGGCACCATAGGGCCTGAGGATCTCCTGGAGAAGGGGGAAAGGCATGTGTGGAGTAGCCAGAAGTCAGAAGGCCCCAGGAGCCCCCCGACTACAGCCTGCCCTGCCAGGCCTCGCAGGTCCCTGGAACCCAGATGTGGGGGTAACTGACCACCATCCAAGGTGATGTGTGCCTGGGAGACTCATGGTAATGCAGTGTCTGCCCCGAGATTAGAAATGTCAAGGGAGAGCTGGGTTTCTGGGGCTTTCTGGCATCACTCCTCTCCATTACTCTACATCTTTAGCCTCCAGTGTCCCAGTGTCCCAGTGCTGTGAGTTCTCTGTGTGATGAGAAAGGGTAGCAGTCGCTCTGGGAGAGGGTGGAGTGATGGGGTAGGAGTCTGTGACCCTGCAAAGTCTCCACTCCTCAGTTCCTTCTCCAAGCTCTTCTTGCAGCCTCAACGGGGTACTCCCCTGGGTCACAGCTTTCTGAGCCTCTCTCCCCAGGCCCTTTGCTGTCTGCCCCTCCCACATTCCATGGTGCTCCTCTGCTTGCCTTCCTCTGGGCTTCCTTGGCATCCCATCTGCCTCAGTGTGTCTGGCTAGCTGGGAGTCCATGCCACCCACTGTCTTATCATGAAATGGACCCTGTTCAACTCAGTTGTTGCCATTTCTGCATGAACAGGCTTGAGCATGGCAGATGCCAGGAGATCTGGAGGGCACCAGTAACTGGACAGATGGCATACTCATCTGCACCAGAGCCTCTCTAGTGGCTGGGAGCCTCTCCAGCAGGCATGAGACACATCGGCATCGGCTAACTTGAGGGAAATGAAGTGTTAAATGGAACTGACCTTCGACCTAGGAAGAAGATGTATCCTCACCCCAATAGGGGATCACAGACTAGACCCTTTGTTTTGTCTAGCCCCTGGCTCCATGTCACCCCTGAGATGGCAGTGTCCCAGGCATGAGAGGACCTCAGCCTATATTCGAGGTCATGGACAATGAAAGTAGTTTCGAGTCATGCCTTTGCTGACAATGTAAGGGGAAAGCATGGACCTGCACTCACCATGACGCTGCTGAACTCTTTCGTCACCAGAAAGGCCATGAACCAGTTGGTGAGGACACAGATACCGGTAGCCACACCCTTGACATGCAGAGGGAAGATCTCGGACATGAGGAGCCAGGGGATGGGTCCCCAGCCCACTGCAAAGCCTGTGGGAGCGAAGCAGTGCTATATTTAGCACACAGGCGGGGCTCCCCCACTGTCTTGTTTCGTAGCCTGTAGGCCTTGGGGGTTCTACCAGCTCTCAGCCCTTTGGGGGGGCCTTGGGCCTGTCCCTTCCATTTTAGGCATCAGGACAAGGACGGGACCTGCTTGCAAGCTGCCATGGAGATGATGTGAAAGGATTTAGCTCAGTCCCCTGCACATGGTCAGAACCATATGCACAGAAGTCATGCTCCTTGGGGCAGATGGGTTGACTTTCCCCATCTAGGACTAGACTTGAGCTGAGTGCTATAGAACGTGGCATGGTGGGACAGCAACCCTCATGCAGCTGCTCTTGAATCCCTTCTTACCAGCAATGAAGAGGCACATGCTGCCTATCGCCAGCCAGGCCAGCCCCACATGGATATCAGCAGGCTCCGCCGAGATGGGCTCCAGGAGGCCTACATGGGAGGAGTTGCTGGGGCCACTCTGGATCAGCTTGAAGTAGGTACCAAAGGCACTCATGCTGAATACCATGATCACACCTGAAGGCAAGGGCTCAGGCTACACAGGACGCTGGGGACATGGCAGCATCTCAGTGTGGCTCTGAGAGAGGCAGGCCAGGCTCAGCAGGCCATGGAAGCCCCATACTGGCCAGCACTCCTACCCAGCTTTGGACCTCAGACCTCAGCAAATGCTGGGAAGTTCCCAAGCAGTCTCCCACCTGCACGGGAAGGAATAGCAACAACGACGCTCAACCCCACACCCACAGTGGCAGTGTTCAATCTCACACCCACAGTGCCAGTCACAGCTCGCCAATGGGCACCACAGGTTCAAAGCTGCAGCCCTTTCCCCATTTTAGAGTGGGAAACGGAGGCTTTGGGACAGACGATCACTTGCTCAAAAGAACCAGTTATACCACCTCCCTGGCCCTGTCTCCCCATGTGAGCCAGGGAGGTTGAGCCCTCTCCGCCAGGCCTTACCCGACAAGGCCAGAAGCAGCCTCCGTCCTGCTCTGTCCATGATGAGGGCCGCCACGGCAGTGAACAGGACTTGGATGATGCTCACAGTGACGGAGGCCAGGCTGCCGTCCTGGGGGAGGGAAGAAGCTGGTCCGCTAGAGAGAGACAAGTCCTTCCCTCCCTGGCTCTGAGCTGGGTCATAAAGCCCTAGGCTCCAGGAGGCTAATCCTGCATGTGGCACGAGGAGGCAAGCTGGGGAGAAGCCTCTTACCTTGAACTTGGCCTCCTCAAAGATGGTGTTGGCATAGAACATGATGGCATTGACCCCTGACAGCTGCTGGAAGGCCATGAGTGAAATGCCGATGATGAGGGGCTTGTAGACACCAGGGCGCCTCACCAGAGCCAGCTGGAAGCCCTGTCACAGAGACGGCCTGTCAGTGCTCTCTCGACCTGAGGACCCTTCTCTGAGACCAGAAGCCTACAGGGAAGGTTGAGCCTCGGCTTGCTGTCCCCACCCCACCTGTGGCTCTGAGCGTGCAGACGGGCCCCTGCGGCCTCCTTATGTAGGAGGCGAGTGCTGGGAGGCTGCACACTCCAGCGCCTGGACAAAGAGTCCTGTTCCCCGAGAGCCAAACACTTCTGTGACTTCAGGGCTCACCTCCAGGCGGGTGAAGCCGAGTGCCTGCCATCTGCACAGATCTCAGCACTGCTGAGTGATGGCGAGGACTAGCTGTACATGAAGGCACCAAGGCTCAAAGACTGCCAGGCCGCACAGCTGCAAAGACCTGCACGCTACTGACTCCGGAGACCCCTGCCTGGGGTTTCCATTAACTCTAAGCCCTCACCCATTTCCCCTCCCAGGCCTGTCTTTTCACTTGTGCGGACAGTAGGAATGAAGTGGGGCTCCAGCTGGGCCCCACCTGCTCAGACAGGACAGCACTGGTCCTCATTGAGGGTGGAGGGGTTCTGCCACTCAGGTGTGTGGTCTGGGGAACAGGCTATGGTCTCAGCCTCTCACCTGGTGCTCAGCCCGAACCGGGGGCTCTTCCCAGCCCTCCTCAGAGCCCCACAGGAACCGCAGGGCAGCCATGGCCTCCTGGTGCTGGTGTCGAGTCAGGAGGAAGTGTGGGGTCTCTGGCATGCAGCACATGAGCAGCAGCATGAGGGTGGGGGCCACACAGCCCAGCACGGCCAGCCAGCGCCACTCTAGGACCCAGCCTACAAAGGCAGATGTCAGGGCCAGAGTGAGGCAGCCTAGGCCCCCTGCAAGCCCCAAGACTCACTCCAATGGTGGGCACCTCACTGCCTCTGCCTCTGTTGGTTAAAGGGGAAACTGTTGCTACCAGGACTGTTCCATCAGGACATCATTAGGGGACATCTTCTAAGGGAAATACAGATGGACTGCACATATGATGTCAAACAGTTGAAAGATGCCCACTGCCAAACCATGTCTGGTAACCAGGGTAACATATCGCAGTGCACTGTGGTGGAGGTGCTGGTGTAAATCAAACGCTAGACCCTCAGTCATGTCAAGGCATGGACACTGCAAAATACTTGTCAACAGTTAGAAAGGACTACTATTGCTTTGATGTACTTACTACATTATATTTTAAAGTACTTTTTAATTTATTTGTGTGTGTATGCACCCGTGCATGAGTGTGGAAGCCAGAGAGGAAAGTGTCCTATCGCCGTCGGCCTTATTCCCTAGACAGGGATGTTTCACGGAATCTGCCGCTAGGCTGGTGGTCAGCAGGCCCCAGCATCCTCCTGTCTCTACCCAACTCCAGCACTGGAGTTACAGGAACTCATGACCACACTTAGCTTTTTGTGGGGGTAATGGGGATTTGAACTCAGGTCCTCATGCTTGGGCAGCAAGCCTTTCTACCTGTGAAAATATTTCCCAAGCCTTACATCATACTTTTATCGTAATTTTATCCTTTAAATTTTATTCCATTCTTCAACTATTTTGTGTGTGGCGGTATAAATGTGAATGGCCCTCACACGCTCACGTGTTTGAATACCTGGTCCCCAGTTGGTGGAACTGTTTGGGGAGGTGTGGCCTTATTGGAGGAGGTGTGTCACTGGAAAAAGTCCTTGCAGTTCCCAGTTAGCTCTCTGCTGAGTGTTTGTGGACGGAGAGATGTGAGCTCTCAGCTACTGCTCCAGCGCCATGCCTACCTGCCTGCTGCCCGCTCCCTACCATGATGGTCACATATTTTCTGGAACTACAAGCCCCAAATTAAATGTTTACTTTTATAAGTTACCTTGATCATGGTGTTTTGCCACAGGAATAGAAAAGTAAATGAGACAGAGAATCTGTGAGTGCGTGGTACAGCACTCATAGGAGGTCAGAGGTCAGCCTGCAGGGGTTGGTTTGCTTTAGCAATGAGGTAGCTTATAGCTGTTCCTCAGAGTCTACTGACTGAGGTGTTATTGTTCCCACCATGTCACTTTTTTGCGATCACAGTTAATTCATACCAGTGGGTCAAAAGGACACAGCAGGACCAATGCAAGGCAGTGTGATGAAGATGCATTGGAGGTTAACCCTGGGGTTGATGGGCACTGCCGTCTCCACACCACAGTGTCAACATCTGTGCCCTGTAGGGGCTCTGATTGCTGCAGGACTCCTAAGGCAGCCAGACGGCTAGGAAGACACCGAAGAGCCAGGATGACAATACTGAAGGCTAGGTTAAGCCTGCCAGCGCTCCTGACCCCCACCCTATGGCTCTTAAGCCATCTTTCAACAATTCTCATTGGGGATGTGCTATCAGGACTTTTCATATGCTATTTATCTCCTGGCCCTAACAGCCCTGGAGACTTAGCGGTGGGGAACTGGGGCTCTCAGGGGCAGCGAGACGCAGCAGGTGAAGGCTGTGTTCCCACCCAGCCCTGATGAGGAGCCACTTTCTGAAACCGCCTCAGGCCACCAGCTCTGCCCCTCATATCTGGGAAGCTCTGCCCCTCATATCATGCAACATTCTCCCGACTGAGAACCCAGTGATAACATGCTGAGACTCCAGTTCGACTGAGCTAAAGCACTTCTCCATACCCCACCCATCCTTGCACTGGAACCCTCTGCTGAGTCCCTCCACAGTGCGGGGGGCTTCTGGGACAAAGAAACCACCTGCTCTAGTTCTCCCTGGCACCCAATTACCAGAGCCACACACACCAAGCTCCCAGGAGGGTGACTGAGAACCTGGCACCTTGGCCAGCAGCACCAGGCAAACTCCTTCCTTTGACAAACCCCAGTTTCCAAAGAAGCCACATCACCATTAATGGGGATCAAAAGACAGTACACAAATCTACCTGCCACGTAGGCCAAGAGGATGCCAGTGACAACCATCAGCTGCACGCAGGAGCCAAGCAGTCCTCGGACGGCTGGGTAGGCAATTTCTGAGATATACACCTATTGGTAGTTTAAGGTGAGACTTTACTTGGCCCTTTCAACGGAAAGGTCTAACTGTACTAGCTACTACGGTACAGCAGAGTACCCTTCCCCAGTTCCTGCAAGTTTTAAAAGAGGATGGCGGGTAATGGTTTGATGCTGCCGCCGCCGCTGCTACTGTGTGTGTGTGTGTGTGTGTGTATGTGTATGTGTGAACAAGGGGAGGAGTGCACAGAGATTCCTTATACTCATTTTATTTTATTTTTGAGATAAAGAGTTTCATGGCACCCAGGCTGGCCTCTAATGAGCTGAGGATAACCCATGAATTCCTGATCTTCAAGTATTTAACCCCCATATCCTGGGATTACAGGTATGTGCCACCAGGGACAGCCCATTACACATTTAATATGCATAAATGTGAGTTAGAGTGAAAGGCTCCTTCCTCCCTTGCTGGTCAGCTCTAGGTGCTATTCAGGACACTGAAAACATCCTTGTTCGGTCTAATTCTACCAGGGGCTGCCATCACTTCTCCTAAGGTCAGGGATCACTAGGCATCATCCATACCATGGATATTCCATGGATGTCCATGGAATATTCTAAACTATTCCATACCTTATGCCCGTGATTAGCCTAGTTAAAAACAAAATCTACAGATCTGCAGCCTCTGCTCTAGCTCCTTCACATTTCCAACAGATGCAGGGGGAATGAGTACGAGGCCACAGAGGGCAGGAGGGATGGGTGGCAAGTGTTGCTGGTGATCTCAGTCACCAGGGTCAGTCCTTGCAGAGACCGTCACGCCTGGGACAAGTAGCTTCCTGTGCAATGGACACCCCCCCCCCCCAGGACTCAGCCTTATTTTACAGGGTGGCCTGTGCCCAGGTAAGTGATCCAGGTGTGTGAGCTGCAAAGTATGTAGCCTTGTGTTAGGGGCTGGCAGCGAGCAGTGACGGGAGCCAGCAGCCTAGCCCAGGAACAAACAGGAACAGAAGCGCCTTGTTAACAAGAAAATAGGGGGACTCTAGTTATTACTGCTAAGCCTGTAGGGATACCATCATTTACAGAGTTAAAAGAGGCACAACTAAGGGCATACAGGCCGTGAGGAATGGCTTAACTGCTGCCTAGCTGCCCACTGCCTGCCAAAGGTCATCTAGGAGGCCCAAAGCACTCACCGGTGCCACCAGTGAAGCGACTCCACAGGCCAAACCGGTGAGAAGGCGACCCCCGAGTAGCATCCACACGTCCCGGGCCGCGGTGATGATGGCAAAGCCGGTCACGAAGGGCACGGCGCAGAGCAGGAGGCTCAGCTTGCGTCCCACACGGTCCACGAGCCAGCCACCCAGGACGCCCCCTGCCGCAGCGCCCAGGGTCACGATAGCCTGGGGACCCGGACGGGCTGAGGAGGAGGCCACCAAGGGCCAGGGGCCCTGACCCCTCCACCCCACGGCCCGCGGCCTCAGAGGAAAGAGAATGAGGACGACCCTGGGGTGCGGCGGTGAGTGGGGACTCGGGGCTCCCCCGCGGGCTCACCCCGAACCAGGAGGCCGCATCGTCTCCGAGGCGCAGGGCGGGGGGCGCGGTTTTCCGCAGGCTGGGGATGGCGGGGGAGCTGTAACCGAGTGCGAAGCCGAAGCTGAGCGGGCCCAGGGCGGCGGCGAAGGCGGCGACGAAGACCTGGCGGCCGCGGGGAGCGCTGCGGGTACAAGGCGGGGCGTGAGCGGCGTGGCCGGGCGTGAGGGAGAGGCCGCCGTCCCCCGGAGTCCGCACCTAGCTCCCGGTGGCCGCAACAGCGGCTGCGTTTCCTGGGGGTCCTCGGGCGACATGTCGGCAGCAGCCGAGTCCGGGACCCGCGAACTGTCGTGGCTCGGGCGAGCGCCGCCTCCGCGGCAGGAGTGACCAATGGGACGCTAGAACCCGCCCCCAGTCAGCGCTGACCAATGGACGCACAGAGCCGGTTGCAAAACTCACTGGATTCGAACTACGCCCCGCGACCCAGGTACAGGTTTGCAGGTATGATTGTCCAATTGGAGTGTGGGTTGAGCCTGAAGGCTGGTCCTCCGGGACTAGGAGTGAATTAGCCAATGAGGATGGAGAAGTTTGTTTGGATGTTTCAGGAGTGCATTGTGTCTGTGTGTGTTTCCTTTCTCCTTCACATCTATGGGGGCGGAGGTGACGGCACGCCTGTGCAGGTCAGGAGTAAGCTTTCCCGAGCTTTCTTCTCCCACCATGTGGATCCTCCCGATTGAAGGAGGTCAGGCCTGGGGCGGGCTCCTTTATCAGCTGGCCCATGTTTTGATGGTTTCATTTGTGTTTATTTTTCTATTTTTACTTCAAAGTTCTTGTGTGTTTTGCTTACATGTGTATATGTGTGCTCCATGCGTGTCTGATGCTTGCGGAGGTCAGAATGCGTCAACAGATCCTATGGAACTGGAGTTAGAGATTGTTGTGAGCCGCCACGTGAGTGCGTGCTTGAGACCTGGACCTACGCCCTCTGCAGGAACAAGTTTTCCTAAGCATTGAGACATCCCCTCCAGACCTTATTTTTTACTTTTATTTTTTGGGGAGTTCTCCCTCAATCTAGCCTCCACTAAGGAGGGTAGTAGCGGGTCAAAGATAAGCCACTTTGGGCTAGAACCAGACCTCCCACCCTTACTACCTACAGTTCTCTGGAATATGGTCAGCCTTTCCTCCTCAACCTTGACTTCTGCCTCAGAGAGCTTCGCGGCGAAAAGGCTCGAAGCAGTCTGTCTTGGGCCATCTGTCCCTCTCCTTGGACTTTCTGAGGGGGACCTGGTGCTTTTCGGGGCAGCTCGCTTTCATCATGAGTGCTGCAAAATCTAGGACCCCAAGATGCTGAGGAGCCTGTCAGGCAAGGTCCCGCATTCCAGAAGTGGGACAGAGTGGAACTTTGTGGTTTTCTCGCTCCCTGGTTGCCCCACGGATAATACCAAGCCTTGGAACCATCTTCGTGTTATTTCTTCATCTTTCTACCTTCCCGAGTCTCCCTGTGGTTGTATGCCGCCACTGCTTTCCGCTTAATTGCTGCCTAACACTTTGTAGGCAGGCAGCTCCAGTGGTGCAGATGGAATTCTGCAAAGTGAGAGGCACCTACTTCATCCCCGTGCCTAGGCGTCTCCATCTCTAGAGTTGTGGGCAGGCTAAGCATTCAAATACCAGTCGGGACAATGGTTTGACATTACTGCAGTCACCCAACTGTAGCAACCAGCATTTTCCAATCTTGATCACAAGACTATCCTTCAAAGCTGGCAACCACCTGTTTGTGCTTCTACAGGTCTCATGCTTGGGTGATAAATTCTTCCACTGCTTTGTAATCACCTGCTCTTTGCTCTTCTTTCCCAATGGATGTGAGCTCCTTTGGACAGTAGGTTTTTGGTGTCTGCAGAGTAAATGCCATGGGCCAATTGCACTTGGACCATGTACTTTGTACCTGAGCCAGTGGCACAGAAGATGGTTTACGTAGAAGGGATGCCCCAGTGAACCCAGCTTTGCACCACACTTCTGAGCCATGGGCACTTATGAACCACTGGCCAGTGGGCTCCTTTCCTTAATTTGCCAAGATATTGTTGCTAGAGAAACTTTACTCCTTTTTGTTTTATGAGCAAAGAAACACCAGCTTGGTGGGCCAGGTCCCTCTCTTGCCTCCTCTGTATCTCTCATACCCTCCTCTCTCTGTTTCTTTCCCTCCCTCTCTCCCTTCCTCTCCTTCCTCCTCCCTTTCTCTTGATTTTGTATAGCCTTGGCTATCCTACACTTGCTTTGTAGACCAGGCTGGCCTCAAACTTACAGAGACCCACCTGCCTCTGCCTCCCCAAGTGCTGGGATTAAAAGCGTGTCCACCATGCCTGGCCTACCCTTGTCTCTTATTTGGTCATAGTTGGCTTTGTTACTGCCCTTCTGGAAGAATAAATATAGGCTTGGATTTTTTCCCCCTGTTTCATCAAGATATAACAACAAAAAGGACAGGAAAAATACAGACCCAAGCTCATTAATTGGTAACACACACACACACACACACACACACACACACACACACCAGCCAGCCAGGAGTCAGGTGTGTGGCACAAGCCTGTCTCCCACTTAGCACTTGGGAAGTGGAAGTGGGAAAATCAAGAGTGTGAAGACAGCCCTGGCTGCCGGAAATCATCTGAACATCCCCTCCCCTAATCCTAAACCAAAACACCAGCCAACCCTATCTGACCAGGAGCACTTAGCCAGCCTCTGAGGGGCACACTGGGCAGGGAGAGGCAGCATTCTCGGGGACTAAGAGTTCGCAAGTTCAAATCATTGACTCTTTTGCTGGAGTCTGTTTTCTAATCTTAGAGCAGGCGATGGGTCCGGAAGACACCCAGTTGGTACAACGCCTGCTTTGCAAGTGTGAGACTCTGGGTCCACTAGCATTCTTGCAAAAGCCGGGTGTGGTGGTGCATGTCAGTAATCTCAGTTGGGGAGGTGCATATAAGCGCTCCCCGGGGCTCACTGGCCATCCAGCCTAGCTGGACTGTGAGCCTGCCAGACCCTAGTGAGAGACCCTGTCTCAAAAAACAGTTGGAAGCTCTTGAGGAACAACACCTGAAGCACGTCCAGTCTCCACATGTAAACACACTTACCTGCCCACAAGCCCCCACCGTGAGAAAGGCCAGAATAAACCTAACACAACTGCTGGTGGGGTTGAGATGTAGTGTGAAGTTGGCCGCTAAAGCTAAAGAGTATCCAGGCTCCTTCAGTCCCGTGGATCATGCTCATTTGTGCTCAATTGTACAGGAGGGGCTTGGGAGGGAGGCCCTCCTCAGGGCCTTCAAGGAGGAAGAAGCCAAAGCTCTAACCTCTGGCACATGACGTGACATCAGAACTCCTTGGAGCTGCTTCCTCATGGGCTGACAACGGGACCATGTGGGCATGGAGGGGAATCAACTGCTAACCAAAGGTTACCCGTGACCTCTGGGCAGGGCTGCTGTTTCTCTATTTCATTTACGTCTGGCTCAGCCTGCATTATTTACTGCTCTCCTTGTAGGAGGGTGCTGAGGTAGGCATTTAAAAATCAGATTTTGCAGAGGACCCAAGTTGGGCAGCTCCCAACTACCTACCATTCCAGTTCCAGGGGCTCTAATGTCCTCTTTTGGCCCCTGTAGGCGACTGCATTCATGTGCACAGACACACATTGCAAATACATAATTAAAACGTCGTTATGCAATAATCTGTAAAACACTTATAAAATGGTTTTTTATAAGTGTTGTCTATGCATGTATGTATGTGCACCACATGTGTGCCTCCTGCCCTTGGAGACGGGAAGAGGGCATTGGATCTTCTGGAACTGTAGTTACAAATGGTTGTGAGACACCGTGTGGTGCTGGGAATTAAACCAGGGTCCTCTGAGAGCAAGTGCTCCACACCACTGAGGCATTTCTCCCGCTCTCCACCTCTTTATCTCAACATTCTGATGTATCTTTAAGAGGAAGGATAATTGCTAGGTTCATATGAAAGAAGAAGGCAGGGGCTTGGAATACAGCTCAGCAACAGAGCCTGTTTGCCTAGCACATTTAAGGTCTTGGCTTCCATACCCAACACTGTAAAGCAAAACAAAAACAGTGAACCACTCAAGGGAGGGACTCTGAAAACTCAATGACAAGAATGCACTATGTCCTCAGTTACAAGATAAATGCATCCTAAGACTTTGACAGGGTCCCTTGCCTTTTTTAATTGTTTGAAACCAAAGGAGAAAGAAGTGGGAGACTTCATTCATCTTTCCCAGGCCTCCAGGCAGGAGTGCAGCAGGCCCCAACCCCCACCCCAGTGAACACAGGCAGCAACAGGGCCAAGGTGCAGAAAGAAAACTTATTTATAGTAAAATTAAAAAGCAGCATCTTTTCTTCAAAAAAAGAAACATAGTATGTGACATAAGTCAAAATTTACGAAAAAATAATTTCCATCTAAATCTATAAAATATAAGAGAAGGGTTGCAGAGGATAAGAATGAACGTTTTTGATTTATTCAAAGTTTTGATCTAAAACTTCAATGAAATCTACTACCTTTATTACAAGGGGTCTGACGGTTCTTGAATGGAAAGAAATAAGGGTCAAGAAAGATGGCATTGGACACCAGAGAGTGACCCAAACTGGCTGAGGGTGCAGGAGGTTTGGTCCAATAGATTGCTGCCTGGCTGAAGGCGCACTTTGTTGAGACAGGACGTTGGAACTGCTTAGACAGTATAAACCTGCATAAGAAAACTAAGGATGGCCAACGACACACAGACTCTACTTCAAATCAATGATGTCTTCTTCTGAGGAGGCCATGAGCTGGAAGGGGCTGCTGCCTGAGCCAGGGCTGCCCTCTTTGTCCACCACAGGGTCCTGCTCAGAGCTCGTTGAGGGATTACGGCCGTCAGGATTGGCTTCAGAAGCAGGGCTTTCCAAAACTCCTGATGGGATCCTGGAAGAGAGAAGCCACCATCAAGGGCTCTGTAGGCACGCCATGCAACATGGCTCCGTTGCCTGCTTCTGTTGTCTTATGCTCAGTGTATCTATCATGGGGCGAAAGGAGGAAGGTGAAAAGGTCCAACGTGTCACTTCTCAGAGTTTCTGATTCCACAAATGCTGGGCTCCCAAAGCCCCTGGCCCTGCTCTGCCCACTTGACCTCTGCCGCCTTCCTAAGACTGAGACAAGCCCATCCCTTCTTCCCTGTGTCTCTGGCCATGCTGCTTGCTCAGAGCAACTGCCCAGAGTTCCTGCTATCTAAGGCACCGTTTCCCCATTCTCATCATTTGTTTCAAGCCAGCCTTGTGCTGTGTTCTTCCTTGACCCCCTATCAAAGTGGACCTTCCACCTACAATTCAATAATTTATTATTAAAAGCTTA